TTTTGTTTGGGGGGGCGCCCACCCCCAATAAAAAAAAAAAAAAAAAAAAAAAAAAAAAAAAGCTCTCAAAAAAAAAAAAAAGAGGCTTTATTTTTGTATTTTGAAGGTAACCACTAAAATATGCTGTTGATTCAGATGTGGGGTATGAAAGAAACAGAAGGCCAAAGGACTATAGAGGCGACTCCAGTACAAGTTGGATTTAGAAGGAAATTTATAGAGTTTACTTTTGGGGGGTTAGCCCCAAAGTTTAGTGGTTAAGAGGGCCAGATCCATGTGGCTGACCATGGTTCAAGTCCTGGCCCTGGCGGCTTGATAAACACATCAAGTTTGTGCGCATGCCCCAGATCCCAAGAGGACGCAGAAATGGAGAAGGGACTGCAGCATGACCATTGTCTCAATGGGAGGTGCCTTCTCCCTCTCTGTCTGTCTGTCTGTCTGTCTGTCTCTCTCTCTGGTAAGCACACATACCCTCTGAAATACTGAGTATTCCTCCTGTGACTTGCTTTGCATTGTTACCACACAGTTTTTCTTTCCTGTGGTTTTTCTCTAAAATATCTTCAGCCTAACATAATTAGTCGCATTATTTTCTGTTGTTTTTAATGTTTTTGCCATAGGGCACATGTGCACTGAAAGGAGAGAGACAGAGAGACTGAGAGAAAGTGAGAAATCACCCATCAGAGGCCACGCTGCAATCCCTTCTTCTCTTGTCATTTTGGGCACACACGCACATGCATCTGGCATCATTTTCAAGCTGCTAGGTCCGGGATTCAAACCACTGGTGGGCCATGTTGGAGTCTAGCGCCCCACCTTGTCACTTCTCATGTGGCATTATATTCAATTGCATATTGAATAATGAATGTGTGGCTCATAAAATCACATACGGTTCCCCAGAATCCATGGGGATTCATTCCAGAACCCCCTGTGGATACCCCAACCCCCAGATGCTCAAGTCCCTTATGTAAAATGGCCTAGTATTGGCATGAATTGTATTGGCATGTCCAGTGTATTCTAAGCCATCCCTAGATTACTTATAATACCCAATACCATGTAAATGCTTTGTAAAGAACTCTTTTACTGGATGGTTTAGGAATAATGACAGGAAACAAAAGTCTATACGTGTTCAGAGCAGACACACCTATCTCAGGCCAAACTACATTGACGCATCGGCGAGAGGAGAACATTTTCACTCTCCCATCGGGTGTGGAACTGCGGGTCCGGAGGGCAGCTGTACAAAGGAAAATGTATAATAGCAACTAGATATGGTTGGTCTTACTGCATTTCTTTTCATTTCATTTTTATTTATTTCCCTTATTTGATAAGTATTATTTTGCTTGAACACTATTTTTGTATTTAGCTATTTACCAGTGCATCTCAAAAACACTTAACGAAAATGGCTTTATATTTTTAAACCAGTTTCTTACAAGACAATTGTATACTGTTTGGGGGCAGCGTATGACTATCATAGGCTCCTTTCTAATAATTTAAGGCTTCTGGGAAAAACACATTTACTCGGCAGACCTACATATATTTATTTCTATCTCTTGATTTTCACAGTGAGCCGTATGTCCTAGAAATTCCATAAAGTGAATATAACCTCTTGGCCAAAATGTACTTACTGATTTTAAAAAGCCCAGATTATTCTTAACAAAAACAGCCTTGAGGGTGATGAAGTCTGTGTAGATAGTGACGTTTTCATAGAAATCATCTGAAGTTTTGTTTTTTGTACACGGTAGCACAGGGAAACTCAAACACGAATGGTTTCTCCAGAAAGACTCCGAAGGGGACACACCTTCCCTTATCAACTGGCCTTCCAGGTATCTCTCGCGTTGCTCCTCTTGGCTTCGGCTGCGTGGCTGTCTCTTCCCCGGCTCCTCTTGCTGTTTGCTCCACCTGACCACGAATGCTAAGTCTCCTCTTGCACTTTCCCATGGCAGTGCCTTTGATGGTCTTGTGTTTGAAAAGGATGCTGAAGTTCCTTTCTAATCATTTGCTCCTCTTCTCTAGCTGCCCTGACATGTGCCCATGGTATGTCCTTCCTCCTCTTTTTTCCCTCTTTCTGATTATCCTTGTATTACACCTCCTACTCCTGCCCTTCCCACCAGCTCCCCTAGAGTTGGCCAGTTGGGGGCAGTAGTGGGCACCTAACTAGCCCTGATTGCTCTCCTCTTGGGTCACACTAACCAGCCAGTCTCCCAACTTGTCACTGTCCCCCTCTGGCCAGCCTCCTTACTTTCATGTCTCCTTATCTCTACACAGTAGTTACATTTCAGTAGCTAATTGAGGGCATGTGGTTTTAAAAGCAGACAAAATCATTTCATTTTTAAGACTGGGGGCAGGGCAAGGCGGAAGAAGAAAGAATGAATAAGTCATTGGAAGGACAAAGCACCCATATATCGAGTTTCTAACAGTCACTTTGTTCTCCACTGAGGACAACATCCAGATTGTCTCTGATTAGAAGCACACATTCCACAGGAGAACTTGAACCACATCTCAGTCGTCTTTTGATTAACAAAGGTTATAAATATGAAAGCCTCCAATATCAGCTAGTCTCTGGGAAAATAACAGCTCAGAATGCTTCCCTCCCCCTGAATTGTGAACAATAACTACCTCTTACGTATGGCTTTGATTTTTCTTTCTTTTTAAAGATTTTTTAAATTTATTTGTTATTATTTCTGTTTTAATTTTACCAGAGGAAGACACAGAGAGAGCAAGAGAGAAAGTGAGAAAGCAAGTTGCCAGGTCTGGGACTTGAACCATGGTCGACCATGTGGCAATACAGTCCCTTAACTACCACACCACCTGCTAGCCCTGTCTTTGATTTTTCTTTGATGAAATATACATAGCTACCCTGCATCTTATATTTTAAAACATAGAGGAGTAGTTTATATCAATTTAGCAGGGTACACTAGTCATTAAAAAAACCTATTCTGTTGGGACCAGCAGTTGTTGCAATTGCCATGTCACTGGACTCCCATGTAGTCAATCACGGTTCAAGTCCCACACCCAGTGGCTTAAACTCACACTGGGCGCGTGTGCATGCATGCTCAGATCCAGAGAGGAGGATGGAGGAGAAAGGATTACAGCGTGGCGTGGCCATCCCTCCTTGGGGGAGTGATTTCTCATTTTCTGTCTCTGTCTCTGTCTTTCTGGCAAGCGCACACACCCTATAGCAAAAACCTCTCAAAAGAAAAGCCAAAAAACTGTTCTTTTAATTTTTCATTTACTTTTTGTAAATTAGTAAGTAAAAGTGCTACAAGTTCTTCAAAAACTCACTATTCCCACTCCAAAATCATTCTTTCCTTTTTAAAAGCTTATTACCCCTCCATAATCTATTCTCACACAGTTGGAATGCTTGCTCCTTTCTCACTACCTGGTATTTCAGAAAGTACAAATAAGGACTAGCCCATGTTATTAAAGGTTGGCTCTTCCCTAAGCACTAGGCACTGTGCTTTGAGCCATCTCATTTATTGTGCCCCTGTTATTTCTATGTAAGAGGTAAAGCAACTGAGCACAGGAAGGGCAGGTCAGTTGCCCAGACCATGCAGTTAGAGCTGGCTAAGCGACATGGGAGCAGAAGTTCCTGGGGCCCAGGGCCAGTGCTTTTATCTGCATCCATTGTGCGGTTGTGTAAGCAGACTGGTAGCTTTGGAAATGGACTTCCGTTTTGCTCTCATATTTAAATAAATCTAGAAACAACTAGAACAATTTCTTTTTAGATTTGTTTTTAGCTAAGGGCATAAGAGCAATTCCAGAGATGGAAACGTGGTCCCTTCATTAATTCTTTTAACAACTATCTTTCCTCTAACCATCTTCTGGGGCTATACTATCACTTGTGTGAATGACTGAATGTCATGTGTATTGCATGTAAAAAGCTTGTCAATGTTTGAGTGCTTTACAAAGAGAAGTGACTGTCACATCTCGAGCTCGATAAAAAGCATAAGTAGTCACAAATGCTCTTACATTCCAGGACACAATGAGATCAGAGTGTTGAGTCCCTAGGTGTCTGTACACCTGGGCACTGGCCCCACGGTCATGTCCTGAGCCTGCATGTGCAGAAAGCTTACTGCTGTAAGGCACCGGCCTCGGTGTGCCCTCGTGCATACTGGTGGTGTATATTCATGAGTGTTTCTGTGACTTCCGGGTGCCTGTGTGGTCAGAAGGGACGCATCCTCCCCCAGGATAACACCGGCTTCGCAGGGGGTGCAGTTAGATCTGTACCACTCTGGTGTACTTGGAAACGTGCATCTGGCAAGTAGTAGGTTTCTGCCGTTACACACTCAAACGCTTTTCCACAAGCTGCTCTCTCTTTGGGTTGGTTTCCACCCACTGGTAATATGTGATCCAGGCATGTTGTCCTCCCCTGAGCAGTCGCTGCACTTTGCAACTTAAATCCTTTTTCTTTCTTAAAGAGTTAAAGTTAGAGAAAAATTGGTCAAAGAGGAGAGTGCTCGCAGCAGCCCCGAACTGGCCTCGGAGTCCTTAACTCAGAGGAGACACCAGCCAGTGCACTACCTGTCCCTCCAGTCAGAAAACTCAGCCTTTGATAGGGTCCCAAGCAAAGCCGCCAGCTCTGCACGGCAGCCCATCCGGGGCTCGGTGCCAGCAGCGGATCCCGTCCGCGCAGTCAAATTGGTGACCACGGAAACCCCAGAAAGTGCATCCGAGTGCAGCTGGGTGGAGTCGGCCGCCCAGGATGCCAGAATGTCTACCTTGAAGGTGCTGGAAGATGAGAGAGGGGATACCCCCGTTCTTCAGATTCGTGAGCTGAAAACAGAAGACCCTGAAGCTGAAAACCGAAGGCCCCTCCCTGAAGCACCCGAGAAAAGCGGGCAGACACATCTGACCATGGAAGATGGTGGACTTGTGAGAGACGAGGAAGAAACCTCTGGAAATGAGGACTTGGATAGACCTGCCATGGGTGCAGTCACTGTGGAACGTCAGAAGGAACTAGAAAGTGTGTCATCCCCACCCCCTGCTCCGCAGCAGCCCGCTGAGAGAATGGGCAGGAGCAAGACGGTTTTGTATGTGCAGAGCGAGCCAGTGGCCCAAGATGCCAGATCGACGGGGCCCAAGAAGGAAGGCCCCACGCGGATGCGCAAGGTCCTCACCCGCTCCCTGTCTGATTACACGGGCCCCCCTCGGCTCCTGGCCCTGAAGGCTAAGGACCCGGCTTCAAAGCGAGAGCTGGAGCTGCAGAGCGCCCAGGCCGAAGGGGGCCCCTGTACAGAGGTTGGTGTGCTGGACACAAAGGTCTCTGTGGCCCAGCTCCGAAATGCGTTTCTGGAGTCCGTCAGCGCCAGCAAGAAAGCGCAACTGTAGGTGATGTTGCAAACGTCCTCTTGATGTGGCACTTGCACGCCCTGGGCAGAGTTATTCACTTCTCAACTCGTGTTGTGTCCTGCATCGAATCACAGTAGCTTAGCTCACCAGTGTGTGCAGGGCAGACTGTACAGGAAATGGCTCGGAAACTACCATTCTGCTTCCGCCTACTAATGGGGCGCTGGAGGACCGGGTCTCTGGAATGCTCCACCTCCTTACGTGCATGGGAGAGGCATGCAGGGGGAGAGCGGGGGCTGGGCCTTGGCTCGCTGCCTGTCGTAAACCTTTGCTTTATTCTCTTTCTCTGTCTTCCCGTTGCCCTTCTGTACCCTCTCCGCCCCATGATTCTATAAGCCAATCACGGGCTGAGCGGTCAACTGGAGTTGGCTTGCCCACCGGCATGGAACGGGAAAGAGGGTCCCGGAAACCGAGACGCTATTTTTCTCCTGGTGAAAGTAGAAAAACTTCTGAGAGATTTAGAACTCAACCCATAACCTCAGCAGAACGAAAGGAATCAGATAGGTAGGCATGCGTGTGTGTCCTTCCACAGCCTAAGGACTGAGAAAATAATAATACTAGATTTGTACCACCCTGAGCGTCCTGTTCCCTTTACAGAGGATGTTGGTGAGTCCGGAATTCTTCCATATGTAAGGGATGTTTATTTGGCTTATTCAAATGTATTTTTAAAAAAGTGTTGACCTTTACAACATTGTCACATCATTTTAAGTACATTCAGATGGTAAGAAGAAATACTTGTTCTTCATTTCCTGTTTTTTCTTTTTTTATGCTCTTGTTAAATTAGACTCCACACAGCCTTCATCAGGTTTTCCAGTGACAGTAACTAAGGAATGATAAATTCGTATCATAACTACCTACTTGTGGTATTTGAGTTTTATGTTAAATTGTCCTATGCTGTCGCAGAGAGACAAGGTTGGTCTAAAAATGTGGCATCAGTCGTTCAGTAAGTTGCACTTGACCTTGGTTTTCCTCCACACGGCGTGCACTTGGCTGGGATTGTGCGCACACATGCTCCACGTTTCAGTTAACACCTCTTCATGTGTGTTCACAACTAGAATTGCTACCAGGGTGTTCGTATCTAGAAGGGTTTAGTTGCCTTTTATATTTTCATGGTTTAATACAGTATTTTATTTGAATCTTCTACTCCCACCAGCTAATCTTTTATTATCATCTGCTAATGTCTCTCCCAGGTGTACTGCAAACTCAGAAATGCCAACTGTTGAAGGCAAGTATCCGTTTTCCTTTTCCTTCTTCTCATCTCATCTAGATTAGATTTAAGTAAGAAAGTCTTGGGCTTTTTGAGGGGACAAGATTAGGGAGCAGATCGATTTCGTACTTTTCTAGTTAGAATGTTTGGATGAGAGTTTCCTCATGTGGCTTTTTGAGAAAATAAGATTATGGAGTATATCAATTTCTGACTTTTCTGTGAGTATAATAAAACCTCGTTGAAATTTTCCGGTGAACTTTCCCTTGTTTTTGAGAGGAGTTAGAATCACGGACTGCACGAGGTTGAAACAACCAACTTGAACCAAAGAAGCAGGTTTTTGTTATTGTTGCCATGTTTTAAAATTAACAGAAATTCCTCCCATAAAATCTACTCTTAAATCTCAGTTAGTTAAATATAGTAGACATCAATGTCTGGACCGAGTCTGGTGTGGCTTGGTTTTAGTAGGAATGACTATTTTCATACATGTGTTCTTGGATTCGAAGGATTTCCAGGTCAGCCTTGGAAAACTTCTCAGGCTTCCCTACCATGTTCTAATGATATACACTCTGTATTTTGTGGCTTTTTACAGATGAAGAAAAGGTAGATGAACGAGCCAAGCTGAGCGTTGCTGCCAAGAGGCTGCTTTTCAGGGTAAGGCATGCTGAGTGCTTGATTAGAAGTTGTAAGCCAGGTGGGTACCATGGCCTAGTTGTTGTGGGAGCCAGATCCCACATGACCTACCCTGTGATTCAAATCCCAGACCCAGTGGCTTGAAAAACATGCTGAGTAAGTTCATGTCCCAAATCCCAACAGAATGGAGAGTTAGAGGAGAGAGGATTGCAGTGTGATCATATCCCATTGGGGCATGCTCTCTCCCTCTTTTTCTCTTGCTGTCTCTGTCTTTATCTGATGAGTACATGCCCACTCTGACAAATGAAAAAAAAAAAAAAGAAAAGAAAAGAAAGAAAAGAAAAGAGTATAAGCCTTATGGAAAGAGAGGCCTATGGCAGCTCTGGACAACTTCCTGCACCTCTGGCACCATGGCTGTCCTCCCAACTAGCCCTCCCGTGGTCTTCTTCCAGTCTGGTTTTGACCACCCGGTGTCCATGATAATGGTATATGGATCTCACCCGTTCCCTCCAGTAAGTCTTCTAGGGAAACAGAGTAGAGACATTGGTTGCCCCAATTCCTTTTCTCAGATTTGCAAGGATTCCATAACATTTCTAATCTTAGGAAATGGAAAGATCATTTGATGAGCAAAATGTTCCAAAGCGACGCTCACGCAACGCAGCCGTGGAACAAAGGCTCCGCCGTCTCCAGGACAGGTCTCACACCCAGCCTGTCACCACTGAGGAGGTGGTCATTGCAGCCACGTAAGTCTCTGGTGGGATTCCTCAGCCTTGGCTGTAATATCTTAAAAGATTTGTAAAAGTTTTAAATAAAAATGAGGTGACGGGCAAGCAAATGATTTAGCTAGAAGCCATGGAGACATTGGTACTTAGGGATTTAGTTTACTTTTGTCTCTCTAAACTTTATAATGTTTTATTATAAACATTTATTAATAAATGTAAGATACACTTTGCTACCAACTGTATCCCCTGGAAAAACATGAAAGGAATTTTGTTTAACTTGTTTTAGTCTGTGCATATTGTTTTTGTTTTCATCTCTTTTACAGTGGAAAATGTAATACATGCAGGTAGGTGATTAATATTGGGTTATTGGAAGTCATGATGCATTTTGGCATAGAAAAAAAAAAAAATACACCATGACTTTTCTGACAACCCAATATAATGAACTTCAGCTTTAACAGCCCTGCACTCCCGGCCAGTCTTGCCCTACCTTTGTCTCTGTTCACGTCCCTATTCCTCCCACATTATTTTCAAGCAAACCCCGGACATTCTATTATTTCATTCATAAGTATTTCAGTACATGTCTATAAAGATAAAAGTTCACTTTGTTTTAAAATAATCACTGAAAAGATTTAAACAAATTGGTGGTTTGATTACCTTCTGAACTACTGGAAGTCAGATTTGACCAGTATGTTCCAATATATTCAGAATAAATTTCCCAAAGTCATTTATTGACAGATCATTGCTTCCATCAAGAGAAAAAATGTATATTTATTTTTGAAAAATTGTTTCTGTGCTTCCTCTGGATGGACACACACCCTTCCTGAAGTAAAACGAAGTTCTCCCATGCAGGGCATTGACATCCCAAAGGCTGTGTGTCAGAGCCTAATCATGTGACTGCTTCTTACTCAGTTGTCCCCCGGTTCTTAGGGTATTGTGGCTAAGTACATCTTTAAGAACTCCTAGCAAACCAGTTTGTTTAAAATATATTTCAGTGGCTAGTATAAAATAAGAAGCAGCTACCCATGTGAGCAAAACAGCAAGTTAAAAAAATTGATCACCTCGTAAGGCTCAATGAATCTACTTTAATGTGTTTCAGATTATGCAAGGACACCGAGTCTCTTCAAAAAATAAATTGAGAACAATAGTCTAATACATTGGCATAATCTACTGATTGGTCAATAGAACCCTAACCCTAGCTTTTAAAATTATTACTTTTTAAACCAAGGTGTTTGTTCTAAAGATAGAAGAAACCCTTTTCAGGCCCTAAAGAACAGGTGTTCTTACTCCCCTTTGCTTTGGGTAACTTCTGGCTCTTATTTCCTAAGTGTGTGGTTGCTTTTCAAGTTCTTTTGTGATTTTTTCCCCCCCTGAAGTAATTAGCAAATAATTTTGTTAAGATCTGATTTAACATTTCTGAATTTTAAACTATGCTTTTTCTGAATGCTTCTTTTCTTCTCTCTCCTTATGAATGTTCCTTCTTTGGCCATTGCTTTTAAAGTGAACCTACCCCTGCTTCGTGTGCTGGGGTCACGCACCCTGTCATGGCAAGACTTCCTAGTCCCACGGTAGCTAGGAGCACTGTGCAGCCGGCCAGGTACTGGACAGAAATGGCTGCCCGCGGCACGCTGCCCAGGGGCAGGCAGCGGGTGCATCCTAAACCTCCATGCCGTTTGTGTGTCTGACCAGCCTGTCAGTGCAGTGGTTGTTCCAGAATGTGTGTGGCATTTTGTTTTGTGCGAGGTACTGACGCTGTCACGGGGACCTGCATGAGGAAACATTTAGTCTGTCTGCTTCCATTGGGTGTTGGAACTAAGATCACACTAACTCGTGGAGCCGTTTGTTTTGTTTCTGTTTTTCATAATAATGGTCATCCCTAAAATATTTCATTCTTCATCTAAAACACTAGCACTTAATAAGGACTAATAGAAAAATGGGGTATTAACATGAATGGGGAATTTCTGGTCAGATCCAGTTTTTTTTTAACACACGGAAGCAGAAATACATGTTCCAAACAATCTTCTCTGTTCTAATTTATAGAGAGATGATGCCATTGTATTTGGGATTGGGAAAGTAATGATTTATAATGTCTTAGCATAGGTGTTTTATTATTACATTTTGGGCTGTGATGTTTGAAAATTATGTCTTTTTACCGTGTCAGTTTCTTCTTTATCGTACTGTTATGAGCCAAAACACAAAAGCTAAAAATAATGTTAAAAGAAGCAAAATGATGGCTGGCCCCATAGTTGAGTGGTTAAGGGAACCGCATAACCAACCACAGCTGGTCCCAATAGCTTGATAAACACACCAGGTATGTGTGTGTGTGCCCAAAATCCCAAAAAGAAAGGGATTATGGTGGGATCATGCCCTATCGGGGTTGCTTTCTCCCTGTCTCTCTGCCTCTCCCTGGTAGGAAACATGTGCCCTCTGGCCATTAAAAAAAGTAAAACAGAAGCAATAAAATGAGGGTATAGGAGGAAAGTCAGCCTAACCCAGAGGCAGGGATCGCTCTGGGGCAGCAGACTGTCCTCCCCCTCCCAGTTCTCTGCATCAGACTCAAGACGGACTGAGCGTAGGTCGCCCTTGTCACGATCCTCATTATTCACCTGCAACACAGAGTCTGCTCTTTGGTCTGGGGCAGCCTGCAAATTGGTATTTAATTGGAGTCCAGGCAGAATATCCTCCTTCTTAGACTTGAGAACTGGCTCTGCCAGTGGTGGGAGGAATATTACATTACAAACTTGCCAAGGTTTATAGTGACCATGCAAACCAGAAGCCTGTCTTCTCTCCTTCCTATATGTTGGGGAGATATTAAAATCACTTTTGTTTTTCAAGTTCCTTAGAAGTAACTTTTGAAACCTATGAGAGAAATGCTTGAACGAAGGAGTGAAAGAATCTTTAAAATCAAACCATTTGTGTTTAACAAATAAAAATCAAAACCCTGTATTATAGATAATGCTGTTCGCAGACTGACCATATTGTTTTCTAATTTTTTAAAGGAGATTTTTGCCTGAGGGCACGTGCACTTGCCAAAGAGAGAGACAGAGCCATGAGAGGAAAAGTGAGAAATCACCGCCACTCCCCCACGGGAGACGAGCATGCCACAATCCCTTCTCTTCCATTCTCCTCTCGGGATTTTTGGGCACGCACGCACACACACATGCCTGGCATGAGTTTTCAAGCCACTGGGTCCAGGGCTATGGTTGGGCATGTGGGAGTCCAGCGATGAAACTGCTATGCCATCTGCTGGCCCCATTTTCTAATTATTTAAAATGATAGGTGGGCTCACCTTCTGAACCACATTTTTAGATAAGAGTGTCTAAATATGCCCTGGCAGGGCCTTACAACTCCCTTCAGCCTACTTACTATGATACTAGTAATGCAGCTTTTCTCTCGAAGATAAAGTCCGTATATCTGGGCGGATTTCCATTCCTTAAATAGAAAATTCATTTTTTAGAGATAATTCAGAACTCAATATTTTTTGTTGTTGTTGTTTTGCTTTTGTTTTTGCCACAGGACACCTGCATTCACTAGAGAGAGAGAGAAAGAAAGAAAGTGAGAAGTCACCCCTGGGGCGGGGGGAGGTGGCTACGCAGCAGTCCCCTCTCCTCCGGTCTCCTCTTGGGATTTTTGAGCACGCATGCACACTTGCCTGGAGTGTTTTTCAAGCCACTGGGTCCAGGACACAAACCATGCACTTGGCCACGTGGGAGCTAGTGCCTTAACCTCCATGCCACCTGCTAGCCCTCAAAATGTACTCTTTCTAGCACTGATAATGCTGGCATCTCATGCCTGCTCTGCTCTGTACTGTCTTGTTTAGTAGCAGAACAACTGCCTGCTCCTGTCTGCGGTTGACGTAGGGACAAATGACCCTTTGCAAAATTAAGTGACACTGTAGGCAAGGTTAATAATATGCAGTTAGCAGTGGGTCTTTGTTATGCGTGTTACTGACTTCTTATTCCTTTCAGATTGCAGGCATCTGCTCACCAGAAGGCTTTAGCCAGGGACCAAACAAATGAGGGCAAAGATTCTG